GACGGAGCTGAAGCCCTCACTTGAGCAGCGATTTTGCATCATTCGCCCCGAGGCCGATCGCGTTCCGGAGGAGTCTCGCCGGAACGCGGTCGGCAAGGGCGCCACCCAAAGCACCGTTTTCCCGGAGGGGGGCAGGAGGAGGAGGAGGTGGAGGAGGAGGAGGAGGGAGAGGGGGAGGAGGAGGAGGAGGAGGAGGATAATGCTGATGATGATGTTGATGATCATGTTGCTGATGATGATGATGATGATGATGATGATGATGATGATGGTACCGGGGCTCATTTTTTCCATGTCTTCACGGGGGTTTCCGCGCCCATGGGCTCTGGGGGCCGCAGGGGCTGCTGAAAGAGGCCCAAGGCCGTTCTGCAGATGGTTCCAATAGGCCCAAGGACAATCTCAGAGCGCTCCGAGAGGGTCCCAAAACGGCTCCAGCAGGGGTGCCCGACGGAGCTGAAGCCCTCACTTGAGCAGCGATTCTGCATCATTTTCTTTGTGTTTTCACAGGGTTTCCGCGCCCGGAGCCCTCCAGGGCGCAGCTTGCGGAACCATCTGCAGAACAGCCTTGGGCCTATGCTGGATGCTGCCCTCCTCCTCTCCCCCCTCCTCCTCCTCACCTGCGTCGCGCTCCTCCTCCTCGTCGTCCTCCCCGCGCCCCCTTCGCCCCGATGCCGATCGCGTTCCGGAGGAGTCTTGCCGGAACGCGGTCGGCAAGGGCGCCATCCAAAGCACCGCGTTCCCGGAGGGGAGCAGGAGGAGGAGGAGGTGGAGGAGGATGAGGAGGAGGAGTGAGAGGGGGAGGATGATGATGATGATGATGATGATGATAATGCTGGTGATGATGATGATGATGGCGACGACGATGATGATGGTGTTGGCGAGGATGATGCCGACGCTGATGATGATGATTATGATGACGATGTTAAGAGGGCGAGGAGGAGCAGGAGGAGGGAAATGAGGAACAGGCGGAGCAGGAGGAAGAGGAGAGCGAGGAGGAGGAGGAGGACCAGGAGGAGGAGGAGGAGCAGGAGGAGGTCCCCGACGAAGCTCAGGCCGCATTTCCCCCAAGACGGTTCCAGGACAGCTGCTGCAGCTTCTCCTCCTCCTCCTCCTCCTTCTCCCCCTCCTGCCCCTCACTTCCCTCCTCCTACTCCTCCTCAACTTCCTCCCCTCCTCCCCTTCTCCTTCCTCCTGCTCCTTCTCCCCCTCCCGTCCTCCTCCTCCTCCTCCCCTTCCTCTTCCTCTGCTTCCGGTCTCACTTCCTCCCTCCTGCCCCCTCCCTCGCCCCCTTAAAATCTCATCATCCATCATCATTCATCATCAAGCCATCATCATCAGCATCATCATCAACATCATCAAGATCATCGCCCATCATCATCATCATCAGCATTATCCTCCTCCTCCTCCTCCTCCCCCCCCCCCCCCCCCCCCCCCTCCCCCCCCCCCCTCCTCCTGCCTCCTCCTCCTGCTCCCCTCCGGGAACGCGGTGCTTTGGGCGGCGCCCTTGCCGGCCGCGTTCCGGCAAGACTCCTCCGGAACGCGATCGGCGTCGGGGCGAGGGGGGCGCGAGGAGGACGACGTGGAGGAGAAGCACGACGCAGCTGAGGAGGAGGAGGAGGAGGGGGAAGATGAGGAGGGCGGCATCCAGCGCCTCCGGCTGCAGACGCCGCCGACAGAGCTCCAGGGCCACTCCCCCGACGGTTCCACCAGGTTTCAGGCGAGCCCGCAAGGGTGCCAAAACGGCTCCAGGGATTCCGCGATTGCATGGGATTTCGCGAACTCGGTCTCGGAGGCCGCAGCGTGAGGGTGAGGCGCCGATCCAGGAGTCCAGCAGACTCGCGCCTCCTACTGACCGCGTTCCGGCAAGGCTCTTCCGGAACGCGATCGGTTTCGCAGCGAGGGGGGGGCGAGGAGGACGAGGAGAAGGAGGGGCCGGCGGAGGAGGAGGAGGAGGAGGAACAGGAGGATGGAGCGAACAACACGGAGGATGGGAAGCCTGGTTAGGAGGGGGAGACGGGGAGGCGAATAAGGGGTAGACGCGATGGAGTCTTTCTCATAAAAAACTGGGGGGGGGGGGGGGATCTCGTTGGGGGCCTCTTCCTCCTCCTCCTTTCCCCCTTCTTCCCCCATCCTCCTCCTACCCTTCAGGAGGGGGATGGAGGAGAAGCAGCAGATGGATGAGGAGGAGGAGGAATGAGCGGAGGAGGAGGGGGAGGGGGCGCCGGGGACTACAGTGGGGGGCCCCTTCCAAGAAATCATCAGCTTCACTCCAGGGCACCCTGGTTTCTTGGACTCCGATCGAGCCGCCATGGAAAACATGGCGCCCGCATGCCTGAAAGCCATGGGCGCCCTCCGGTGCCAGGGCTGGGCCCCTTGCGGATGTTCGGAGTAGGGCCCCGGGGCGGTGCCTGTCATCTCCACGGGGCGTGCAGGGCACCCCCGGGAGCGTCCGAAGCGTCCCGGAGGGCCCCTGGGACCGCCAGGAACAGTTCGAAACCGCCCAAGACGGCCCGCGAGCGCTCCAAGACGCGCATACATAGCCTCAGGGATGGCCAGGAAGGCCCGAAGACGTTCCAAGAGAGCTCCATGAGGCCCCGAAGGCATCCCAAGAGGCCTCCCAAGAGAGCCCCGACAAGCCAAAATCGCTGGTTTTTGGCATTCTCACTTTTTCGGAGTTCCGACGCTCCAAGACCGTCCAAGAGTCTCCCAAAACCGCTCCACGGCGGCCGAAGAGGCCCCCAAGACCGACCCAAGACGGCCCAAGAGACCCCCAAAATCGTCCCAAGACGGCCCAGGAGAGCCCCAAGATGGCCCAGGAGCCGCCCAAGACGGTTCCAGGAGAGCCCCGACAGGGCTTCAAGACTGCCAAAGCGAGCCCGGCGGTCCCCAAGAGGGCCCCGCGAGGCCCCAAGAGGCCCCACAGGGGCCCCAAAGAGCTTCCCCAGAGGCCCCCAGATGCCCCCAAGACTTTCAAAAATGACCCTGAACGCGCCCCAAGACGCCTCCAGGAGAGCCGAACAGGCCTCCGAGAGGCCCCCAAGAGGCCCACTGGAGGCGCTCGGGAGGTCGTCCCCGTCATGTTCCCGGAAGGCGGTCCGGGAACATGATTCCGCGCCTTGGAGGAGAATTCTGCGCTTTCCGAGGCGCCTTCCGAGGCGCCCTGGACGACGTACGTATGTTTCTATAGATTGTCCATCTCCTGTGTACACAATCCTACATGTCTTACGTATGGTACTATATATATATATATATATATATATATATATACATATTCTTTAGGCTTACGCCACACCGCCGACCCTTTGTTTTTTGAGGCAATCTTGGACGTCTTGGGGGCGTCATGGCCCGACTTTATCCCCCGCATTCCTATCGTCGTCGTCTTTGCTCCTCCTCCCAGTAGTCGGCCCATCCCGCCACCGTGCCTGAGTTGTGGTTCAGAGGCCTCTCAGATTCAGGAGAAAGTCCAGATTCGGTGCGCGAAGTGCAAGAATTTCTTGAAGACGGAGGCGGAAGTGGCGGCGAACCAGTACGACTCGAAAGATGCGGGGGAGAGGCTTTGCAGGGCGTGCGCCCGCAACGAGAAGGGTGGGCGGAACGAGAAGGCGGATGCAGAGAATCGCAAGCGGAAAGCAGAGGCGGACGCGAAGCCGCTGACGCGCGCGGCGTGCAAAGGCGCGTTCTCGGACACGAAACATTTGAAGCAGAAGCAAGTGGAACATCATCGAGCGGCGAAAGGAGCTAAACTTGTGTGCAGAAGCTGCGAGGAACTCGGGTTCACAGCGCGCAGTTGCCAGGCTTATCAGTGCAGCGGCGCGTGCAAGAGAGGACTACCAAAGTCGGCGTTCCCCGACCCTCACAATGTTCCGCGCGACGCAAAGAAGGGCACCCTAAAGTGCAAGACGTGCACATGATGCCCAATCGGTTGCGCGTACTGGGCAGAAAGGGAGGACGGGAAGAGGAGGATGGGGGGTGAGGCGGAAAATGGGGGGGAGAAACATCGGTGAGGATGAGCTGAAGCGGGGCAGGAAGAGGAGGAGGGGAACGAGGAGGAAGTGTAGGAGGAGGAGGAGGAAGAGGAGGAGGACGGGGACACTGAGATGAGGCTCCGGGTTATGGGGCTGGGCGCGACTCGAAAAACCGGTGTGTTCAGGGATGTCCGTTGGGATCTTGCGGGGGGGCTTTTTGCGGGCCTCTTGGAGCAGTTTCGAAGGCTCTTGGGGGCCGTTTTGGGACCTCTTTGTGGTTTCTTGGGCGCCTCTTGGAACGTCTTGGGGGCCTCTTGGGGGGTTCTTGGGGCCTCTTTGGGGCCTCTGGGGGCCTCCTGGGGGCCTCTTGGGACGTAAGGCTGGGTTTTCCGGTGCGTGGTCTCTCTCTGGAGCCCCTCTTGGGCCCGTCTCCGGGAGGTTCTTGGGCCGTCTTGGGCGGCTCTTGGGCCGTCTGGGGGCTCTCTTGGGCCGCCTTGGGCGGCTCTTGGGCCGTCTGGGGGCTCTGTTGGGTCGTCTTGGGGGCGTCGAGGAGGCCTCTTGTGCCGTCTTGGAGCAGTCTTGGGAGCTTCTTGGGCTGTCTTGGAGCGTCGGAAGGCCGAAAAGGCGAAAATGACGAAAACATCGAAAAAAACCAATGACAATCAACGATTTTGGCCTCTTGGGGCGCTCCTCGGGGGCCTCTTGGAGGTCTCTTGGGGCGTCTTGGAGGTCTCTTCGGGCGTCTTGGAGCCCTCGTGGGGCGTTTTGGAAGCCTCTTGGGGCCTCTTGGGCGCTTCTTAGGGCGTCTAGGCGGTCTCTTGGGGCGTCTGGGGGCCTCTTGGAACGTCTGGGAGGCCTCTTGGGGCCGTTTTGGCCCGTATTTGGGCTTTTTTGGGCCTGGAAGAGCGTCGTGAGTCGCTCGTGGTGGGCCCCCCCCCCCTCCAAATCGACCGGACCGGGTTCCCCGGGGAGGGGTTTGGGGAGGGGGAAGCATCTCACACGCCGATGACCCAGGGGGTCGGCGGATTTCTCAACCAGAGTCTTGCCAATTAGTCGTTGGCAAGGGTGGTGCACAGTTTTGCACCGGTCCCTTCCCTCGTTCCTCCTATTTCCGCCCTCCGCGTTCGTGCTTCCTCCCTCCCACCCTCGTGCTGTGCAGCTACCAGCAGCGACGCCCCGCGCGCCTGTTCTTGCGCTGCCGAGCCCTGGGGCCGAGGAGACGTCGGGGGATGGGAACCCTTATCAGGGGGAGGATTGGGGGGAGGGGGAGACGTTGACAGATGAGTGTGGCATGAGTGTTCGCTATTTTCTCCGAGGCATGTAGTCAGTTTTATGGCTCCCCTGGGTTGCCGCTGGAACGGACCTCTTGGCCCAGCTCTAATTTTGTCGGCAGCCTTTTGTCGTTGATTGGTAGGATTGCGCGACACTGGCACACCCACGATGCAGCGACCGCAGGACGGGTATGAAGGGGGTGCCGAAATGGGTGTGGGTGACGCGTGCGAAGAGCATCTGCGATGATCGAGGAGGGGGAGGAGGAAGGACGGAGAACGCGGGGCGCTGTTTCTTCAAATGGGTAGCAGTTTGTGTAGCCGAGCTTTCAGTGGTAAACAAGAGCGCCCTCTTGCCTGGCCTTCGACCACGCGGCGGCGTCCCTGACCGCCTGGTTCGGCAGCGTCTGCTGCCCCCGTGGGCATCAGCAGGAGCTTTCGTCGCTCACAGCATGTGGCGAACTGAATAGTCATTAATCACAATTTGCGTTCTGTGCGCAGTGTTTTAAGCGGGCATCGCTGGAGGCTGCTACTCATGCAGTTGAAAGCCTCTTCCCCTCGTGACGTTCCGAGGTTCCTGTGAGAAAAAAATCGTCGTCGTCGTCGTCATCATTGTCATGGGCATCACCACGAGCACAATCAGCATCATCATTACCACCGTCGTCGTTATGATCATCATCTCCCTCATGAGTACGATGGTCCTTATAATATGCTATCCTCTACCTGGTTCCCTCTCTTCCTCCTCACCAGCACCATTCATTTTGTTGTCATCCTCCCCGCTTCTTCAACAACGGGCGCATTGCCATAATAAGCGCCCGCGCCCTGATCAGCATCAACGTTCAAAAGCGAAGCACCAGGACATAATTATCGTGAACGCCGCCAGCTGCAGCATCCAAGTCATCATCGTACTCATCAGCATCATCGTCCAAATCCTTATCTCAATCCCAGCACTATCCCCATAACAATCGAAATCGTCGGGTGATCTGGGGGTCCAGTGAGTCCGGAAGTCCGGTGGGTCCTGCGAGTCCGGCGAGTCCGGCGAGTCCGGTGGGTCCAGTGGGTCCGATGGGTCCGGTGGGTCCGGTATGTCCGGTGTGTCCGGTGTGTCCGGTGTGTCCGTTGTGTCCTGTATGTCCGGAGTGTCCGGTGTGTCCGGTGGCCGGCGTGTCCGCTGAGTCCGGTGAGTCCGGCGCAGTGGCTGTGGCAGCAGGGAGGACCATTTTGGCGGCGACGGCCACGGCGACCAGCGACGACGACAACGACGCGCACAGGGTTGGGGTGGAAAGCGCCGGGGCGCTCGATGTTGTTGTGTTTTTTGTTTTTTTGTTTTTGGGGGGGCGTTCCAACGTGTCAAGGTGTTTTTTTCACAGCAAGCGTCCACGACACGCTATCTCTCTTCTTTTCAGATTGCGTCGCCTCCACCGGTCTTCGTGGAGATCGCGGTGCCGCCCCGTGTCGTTACCTTCGACGTGCCGTCCTCGCCTCACCCACCGCATCGTCAGGATGAGTGGAGCACTGCCGAGCCGAACGTCAGCAGTGCCAGTCTGGCTGCAGCCGAAGACAAGCAGCCGATCACTGCCGCTGTGCAGCAGCACGACCCGCCACGCTTGGGAGCTGCTTGCCCAATGCCAGAGCCATGGGGACGTGTTCCACTTCAAGATGTGCAAGAATCGGGGCGACGTAGGACTCGAGTAAGCCGGAACTCGGGTTTGCGGACGTGCTTTTGGCGAGCGTGTCCCGCATTTTGCCGATGCAGTCTTCGTGGGAGGTCTGCAGCGGGAGCGCGCGTCCCATTTCAGTTTGCGTCTCGTCGTTCTTAGGATGGCCCCGTTGGGACAACCCAAGTCCCCCTGCACTCGAGGCCTAACCCCAGGAAGCATTTAAGAACCCCCCCTCCGGCAAATCGATAACCCTTCCGCACCATCATCCATATCCGCATCATCATCATCATCATCATCATCATCATCATCATCATCATCATCATCATCATCATCATCATCATCATCATCATCATCATCATCATCATCATCATCATCATCATCATCATCATCATCATCATCGTGTCCGGGTGCTACAGCTATCGTTCGGTTATTTCGGCCCTTCGGAATATCGAATCAAAAATGCGGTGCTACGATATCGCCGGGGGGGTTCTTAAATGCTTCCTGGGGTTACGTCTCCCCGAAAGAAGTGAGGTGCGTAGCCAAGTCCGCTGCCACTGCGCCGACCTCCTGCGTGAATGCAGTCGCGTGGCGGTGGCGGCCCTCCTCGAAGGCACCCCGCCCCCGAGGGTGAGGCCGCCTCGGGCGTCTTGCCTCCCAATGGCGCGACCGCAGTCAGGTTGCGATTCGTTGTGGGCCACCCCTAGTCGCTCGGCCCTTTGGTTTCTTCAGATCAGTCCCTCACCGCCTCCTCGGCGGTGCGAAGCCGATCGGATAGCAACAGCCTTCCTCCACTCCTCCCGTTCCCCCACCCAGCACCTCCCCAGAGGCTTCGGAGGCATTGCGCGGGCCAGCGACGTCCAAAACCTTGATCCCCGAAGTTGGACCCTGCGTTCTCCTCCCCATCCCGCCACACACCCTCGCTCCTCGTCCACCCCCCCTCCCCGAAAAGCCCCAGATGCCTCCAGAGACCCCTGAAGGCTCAGAGAGGATCTGCGCACGCGCGCCACAAAAACGCCTGCATCCTCCATCCTTTAATGGCCTTTCCTCCTGATTGGTGTCTACTGCTACTCCTGCATCGAACCAGCCAGTAGGTGCTGGACCTGGGATGTCCCAGTCTGCTCATCAAAGACAAGTAAGCATCAGCAGAATTCTTCTCAACTCGGAGGTAGGAGCCCGGTCCAATCCCAATATCGAAGGCGCCTACGGCGAATCGCCGCCGCCCCCAGCCCGTTGGAATCGCCCATGTGGCCGAGCGTTGTGGCAAGAGCTCTGGCAAGCTATCGGGCCATGTGTTCCCCCAGCCGTTGTGGAAACCCTTCGGGGAACACTTGGGGGAGGATGGCGGGCCCTGACATCTTGTGGTTGCAATTTTTTTGCAACGCTCCTTTTGATGCAATTTTTGTGTGACGTTGCAATTTTTAGCTCGCAGTTCGCAGCGTTGCAATTTTTCTTGTCATGTTGCAATTTTTCTTGCGACGTTGCAATTTTTCTTGCCATGTTGCAATTTTTCTTGCGACGTTGCAATTTTTCTTGCGACGTTGCAATTTTCCTTGCCACGTGGCCATTTTCGATACGATTGCGCCACGCACGGTCACCCGAACGAAATCCCGCTGGTCACCGTTAAGGGGTCAATTTCGTTGCGAAATCAATATGACAGCTTTTCCATTGCAATGCAAAACTCGCACGCGCGCGTCCGCGCGCGCGCGCGCGATCGGGTGATCCACGCGCGGGCAGGTCACCCGAAATCTCGTTGGTTACAGTGATACATAATCAATTTAATGTGGCAGGCCGACTTGGGAAACATCAGAAAACGCATGTTAACTTCAAAATCCAATCGATCACCGTTAAGGGTTCACTTGAGTTTCCAGGCGAACATGGCGACTTTTCCATTTTTGAAAACACCTTAACTTCAGGATACAATCGATCACCGTTAAGGATTCACTTTAGTTTCCAGGCCAACATGGCGGCTTTTTATTGTGGACAACACAAAACTCGCCACGCGCGCGCGCAATCGGGTGACCCGCGCACGGGCAGGTCACCCGAAATCCCGTTGGTTACCTTTAAGGGTTTAATTCAGCTTCCAGATCAAGTATCAGATCAAGATGTCAGCTTTTTAATATCTATATATGTATAAGAATAAACTCAATTGCGCCCTTATTAACAGAAACCAGCGGGATTTCGGGTGACCCGCCCGTTCGCGGGTCACCCGATTGCGCGCGCGCGTGGCGAGCTTTGTATTGTCCACAATAGAAAAGCCGCCATGTTGGCCTGGAAACTAAAGTGAACCCTTAACGGTGATCGATTGGATTCCGAAGTTAACATGCCTTCAAAAATGGAAAAGTCGCCATGTTCGCCTGGAAACTAAAGTGAACCCTTAACGGTGATCGATTGGATTTTGAAGTTAACATGCGTTTTCTGATATGTCCAAAAATGAAAAAGTCGCCATGTACTCCTGGAAACTAAAGTGAACCCTTAACGGTGACCGATTGGATTTTGAAGTTGACATGCGCTTTCTAATATTTCCCAAACGCCATGTTGGCCTGGGAATGTATAAGGAATCCAACGTGACTTCGGGTGACCAGCCCGCGCGTGAGTCACCCGATCGCGCGCGCGCGCGCGGACGCGCGCGTGGCGAATCTTGTATTACCCACAATGGAAAAGCTGCCCTGTTGATCCCGAAACTGAATTGAACCCTTAACGGTGGCCAACGGGATTTCGGGTGACCCGCCCGTGCGCGGGTCACCCGATTGCGCGCGCGTGGCGAGTTTTGTATCTGCAATAGAAAAGCAGCCATGTTGGCCTGGAAACTAAAGTGAACCCTTAACGGTGATCGATTGGATTTTGAAGTTAACATGCGTTTTCTGATATGTCCAAAAATGAAAAAGTCGCCATGTTCGCCTGGAAACTCAAGTGAACCCTTAACGGTGATCGATTGGATTTTGAAGTTAACATGCGTTTTTTATATTTTCAAAAATGGAAAAGTCGCCATGTACTCCTGGAAACTAAAGTGAACCCTTAACGGTGACAGATTGGATTTTGAAGTTAACATGCGTTTGTGTGTGTGTTCTGACGAAAACAGTACAACCATGTTGGCCTGGAAACTAACATGACACCATTAACTGTTACATATTTGAGTTTGAAGTGCATTCCGTGTGCTAGAGGCTTCAAACATAATGCACCACCACACGCGGGTGACACGTGTCACCCGCGCGCATGGCTTGTACCGTCCACAATCGAAAAAATCGGCATGTTTGCCTGGCAATGAAAATACATTGTACTTCCAAGAGGAGCTTTTGTTT